AGCGACACGACCCCTACGTACCAGCAAACGGCAAGCCTAGTTCCGGAGTGGTGACAGACTTGCCGGTACGGATAACATTTGGTGGAGGACCCAAGCAGATCCCATAAGGAGCAGATTATACAAGCAACAACATTAAAACCTCCCCCCCCCCCCGATATTTTTGTGCGAACGCCAAAAATAGGAATATCTAATTAACAAGATACACTATTCGCCAAAACAAGACAATACCTTCTTTGAAATCGTCTGAGGAAGACTATCCGCGATACACGTGACACCCTGATTAATAATCAACGGCGTCATGATTGAAATCATATATGACACAACAGATGATAAAGGTGGCTCCTCCACCTTCTCACGACAAGATGTCCCAAGAAGACCGGTAGACACATGTGCAAGACGAAAATGGAGAGCCAAGCCAAAAGAGAAAAGAGTACAGAAGACAAGAATCCGGAAGTTCGGAGGCGGAGTAGAAGAAGACCCACAATCGTGGATAAGGCGCTACAACGAAGCCACCGAACGGAACAATTGGACGGATGACGAAAAGCTAAGGAAGATGAGTAAGTATTTGGAAGAGGATGCATTAGAATGGTACGAGGAGAACTGGAGCCGTTTTGCCTGCTGGGACGACGAATACGACCCGAGGAAAGTTTCGCACCGGCATTCGTGCAGCACTTCGTGATGCTCAAACGGCAACGGTACCAGTAGCAAAAAGAATTAGAAAGCATACGGCAGGAAAAGAACGAAAAAGTGACTGAGTACGCCCATAGGTTTGCGAGGCTACTTGATAAAGTGTATCCTGAAGGCAATTACCAGAAAGAACCAGCGAAATGGTTGCTCGCGACTGGACTAAGGAAGGACTTGTTGTCCGTACCCGCCGTCGCGAACGTGACCAACCCGGCGGAAGTAATCAGGGCAGCAATAGAGGCCGAAGCCCATGCCGGGAGGGAACTACAAAAAACAAAGGAGTTAGAAGATCACATTCAAGAGTTAAAAAACCAAATGCGAGAGATGAGGAGAAAGCATTACCAGTATACCACCCCCGCTGCAAGTGAACCAAGAGTGGCAACCAGGAAGAAGACGACACCATTCGTAGGGAAGCCTAGTTGGGAAAAGGACCCCAGTATGATGAAACCGCTAGCTTACGACAATGCTGATGATACCCCAACGAACCGTACTATCGTCACGAACGAATGGGAGTACCTGAGTCGGAAGCCAGCACAGCCTAACAAAGAAACAAGCATCGTTAGTACCCGCGAGAAGATACCGATCTCGTATGATGAAACTAAAGAGATACTTACTGACGAGATTGGTCACGAGGGATCTGATGATGATGCGGATGATGGAAATGGTTTGTGCGAAGCAAGACAATGGAAGAAAGGAAGGATTGAAGGAGACGGAGAAGGAGGGTTAATATCCGATGAAGAAGGAGAAGTGGAACAAGAGGTGAATAGTAATCCCAACTCTGATGATGACACACGACCGGAGACTCCAGGTCCTGCAGCGTACTCCTTCCAATTGGAAGAGACGTCGGCGGCGACCGAAGAGAATCCAAAGAAGGTCAATGAAACTGAGGAGAAGGATGAGGGTAAATCGAAAGAACAATGTGAGACAATGAGAAAGGAAGTGTTGAAAGAACAAGATGCGGCGTCAACAAAGGTACTATCAGAACCATATTATGAGGATCAGATCGGAGCGGAAGGAGGAACAGGGTGCTCTGAGATGGTACAACGTACCGTCGACACCAGTGACAATGATACCCCGGTTAACCAGGACGTGCACGAAAGTAAAAAAGAAATAATTGAGAAAGGAATGATGATTGCTGTCACCTGGAGAACCTATGCGCCGATCAACGAGACGTTCAGGATGTGCAGCATCCCGGCATCACGGCAACAAGCGATGAACGCGTTTCTACATGAATTAAAAGGGATGCTTATGCGGATATACGTTGGTATCTTCGCAAAACCAGTACTGCTCACGATGATGATGATCTATAAGACGGTTTGGACAAAAGATCCAGTAAAACAACCCCGGGTCGAGTATGAGAACGTGACCGCGAGTACCGTCCGGAGATCTGAGTGCGCAGCGGTGATGCGATGCACCCACAACAGCAATAGCGATGCCTTGGGAAATAGAATAGCGGCAGCCACGACCAATATGGGACTATCATGCACAGTAGAGGACACACCTGTTAGATTTGGCGACCCGCCTGTAACGTGCCAACATCCGACGATCCCACACTGGTGCAAGATCGTAGAAAAGTTGATGACACGAGAATTAAATACCGTTAATATAGAGTTAAGAATGGATGCCACTGCCCTGATCGACAGGATCACTGACGTGACTATCCATGCTACTCGTATTGGACGAATCAAGGGAAATGGACGGCGAGTGAACCAACTTGTTCAAGTGTTTCAGGGCCCCAACGTACCACGTAACGTGATACTGAAATTCGGAGATGACAACCCGAATTGGGACTACGAAACCGCAGAAACTAGCATTGCGTGTAAGCTAGAAATAGGAGACGGAAGAATGATGTACCCACGTGCAGAGCACACAGGCGTATTAAAAGACCCAACAGTCACACCCCGCAACTTACCTGTGATGCACCAACGATGAATGATCGTATGCTGGCGGAAGATCAAGGAAAAGGTTAAGATATGTTACCTAAGTACCCCCGCCACGAAATCTAGATGGAAAGACACTACACCGACCGGAGGCATGGATCTAATGGTCTACGATGTCACCAGGATGGGGCAAATACGAAGAAGTGTATGGCGAGCAAACCAACAGGTAGAAGTACTTCGGGGTCCCAAAAAGTCATGTGACTCGAAGCAAGGGATCGGAAAAGACAACCAAAGTTGGAACCGTGGAATTACTACCACTAACAGCAAACACGCATTTACCGTAAGGGACACAATGGATGATAACACCTATCATAAGGAATTCGATATCGGAGACCTAGATAAAATGAAACATAGGATTAGCAATGACAATGATGAAAACAGTACAAGAAGATGTGATGGTCAGGTCTTTACCCGACTGCCACAGACTATCCTTGACCTAATCACTACTTTGAGGATCCGACATGCACCAGAAACCGCAAACCGGAAGGTTGGGTTTGAAGATTGTCCGCGGAGCGTACAAGATAGGCGTGGGGGAGTGTTAGCAGAAAAATATGTAGATGGGTTGGGATCGGCGCAGGTCATGTGGTATGGCGCGATGCATCAGATCATGC